ATACAAAAATCAAGTAGGAAACTGTCACGAGAATGGTTTGAATAAGCTTCGCACTTTCATTTCAATACAATACATTCTAACTTGTTTTATATTTTAAATAATGCAAAGTACATGCATTTAAATGTATTACACATGTAATAATGCATTTAAAAATAAATATCTTATCCGAATCGTGTTTGTTTGACACACATGTTGTTTAACCAACATCTATAAAATGTTAATTTTAGGATATACGACGAAAAAACAGCAATGCCACCAAACATGACACTTTCTTACGTGTTTAAGGTGTTGCTGAAATCGAAATAATAAGTGAAATATATCAATGTTAATGATTCCAGAATTATTCAATAACTTTTGCCAAATTATATGTCAAACACAATGTTATAAACAGTTCCAATATTTCCAATAACAAAAGAAGATTTAGGTTATAATTGTACAAATCAACGACACAAGCTAAAACCTCTTTGGAATTGTATATGAATATTTCACAACAATAATGACTAGCCGTATCAAATGGCATTGTTGTTCCTGCGACAATATAAAAAACAAAAACATTAAATTGCAAGACAAAATACTTATTTTATATTAAAAAATTGTCGGTGTTATTGTCGTCTAAAAGAAAGAACGCCAGTCGTCAGACTTGTTATTTTAGACAAGCGTTAGCTATTTTTCAGTTAACAAGGTTTTGTATATGATATAAATATATCAAAAATAAAATGCTGTTAAAACCTATCGGACATAAGAAGAGCAAGTCACACCAGATTCTCTTTCTTCTTACAAAGATTTATATGTTATTAAAACTGTCCTGTTGATTATTCAAAATATTTTGTGACCAAAAGCATGAATTATAATCTAGAAACTAATTGAATAAATAGAGACTTCTTTATAAAATTCAGAAAAATGAGACAGTAATTGCTACTCTCATTAATGTTACGAATTTCTTTCTGACAAATGACAGTCATTTTAATCATAGCACAACACAATGACACAATATTATTTTTTAAAATAATATTTTTAAAATAATAGTTTTAATAATATTTAAATATATTTTTCTGAATATTGAACAGCTAAAAGTTGTGTTAATAATTCTTTGTCAGTTTTATTCTTGGAGACGTTTAAACTAAATATTACTAAATATTTGTCCTTTAATTAAAATTAATGTTATGTTGTACATGTATTAACACATATTTAAATCCTAATTCAGCTCCTACAATTCCATTGGTTACAAATCTTGACAACAACTATTTAAATCAAGAAACGCCTGAAGAAAATAACTATGTCATTCCTCCATTGAGAAAATTTGATTTCAAAAACATGCCAATTCAAGATATTTATTTTAATGTATTGCACTCAAAAATGTGCTTTATCAATATGAAAACAAAAATGGTTTTATTAAGAGGAAGATGATTAATCAACCAGTTCTGGGAAATGAAGTTGTCTACGACAGCTGTTATGCAATAATTTAGCTCATTTGTCAATACAAAAATTGATAAACTTTAAGCCATCAAATACAAAAACAATTGCCTTATTAATTAAGCAAAAACTCCATATCAATGTACCGGAAGTTGCGAATGAAGAAACGGATTCAGAATGATGAACTAAATAAAAAATGGAAAATAAATTACTTTTTTATCAATCTTATCTATAAAGTTTGGAGGAGTGGCGGTAATTTGTACTTAAAAGTATTGTCTATGAAAAGGCTATATCAAACCGAGCCAACGATATTTTCATTTTTGCCTTTTTTTTTGGTGTTTCTTAGGGCTCCATTTTTCTCTGTTATTTGTGGTTCGAAAATGATTTAAATATATTGAATTATCATTAAATTGTAAGCGTATACGCCGTCATCTTTATCATATCTTACTCTAATGTTTTGTATTTTTAGTTATAAAGATTTTTGACAGGTTAAATGGCCCTAAATAAGCGGTTGTTTGTAAATATAACCCGAGCCGCCAGGCGAGGGTGATATTACCAACAACCGATTATATACGGTCATATAACTTTTCAGAAACATTTATAACATTTATAATACAGCAATAATAATTTTTAGAGGATTAAAGCGCGTTTTCTTTATAAATCGACAGCAGCCGTGTATATAAAACTATAAAAACGTCACGATTATCCAGTGAAAAGCGACATTACAAACATGCAGTATTATAATAAAATTAGTATAGTCTTTTATACCAAGAGAGAAAAACGAAATCCACACAGAACGCCTGAAACGTCAACTTTAAAAAGGTATATTGGGTTTGGACGGTTTCTTGCTCTTTCCAGTACCATCCGTGAACAGGCTTAATCAAACAAAACAGGCTCAATCAAACAGAGCCAGGAACATGTTAAGCTTTGTAGTTATAGCCAGTTCTTTAGGAATTCCGTTTTTATCTTTAAGTATTAAGAATTTTTACATAATTTATGGAAAATGTTTTCTTTAAGATTCCATAATCTAAACGCGCGTGTTGATATATAGCAAGGTGGTGTAATACTTTTTAGAATATATAAATTCGTGTGATTCAAAATGTAAATAAGTCCAACAACGTGTCCGCAATTATACTTCCGCATTGTTTAATGTAGCAAATAAAACATTTTGTTTCGCATGCATGTCATGAAGTGTTACTACGTCATTATACAGTGAAATATTTAAGTTTAAATCGTGATTTCTTTTTGCCATTAATGTTTAAAATGAAATGTTATGTCATATAGATAACCTTATAGAACGTCAAAGATATACATGTATAATAATCCTTATTTCGCTTGTAGCCACACTGTAGTCAAACTAACGTTTAACACAGGTAAGCATCTTATACAACTCATTACCTTTTACACAATTTTGCAAAATATTATTATATCCCTATATGTTGATATGTATTGAATATAATACAAGTATATTAAATATAACAGAGGTTTTAAAACACGTGTGGCAACCAATATATTTGTTCTTATCCAAACCGAGTTGCCATTATTTTCTTTCTAAATCTGATGAAACCAAACCTCATCTGAAGTTTATATCACTACATATATAACTTACATATGTACATCAAAGCTTTGTCTAAGGAGATTACGGGTTACCCGTTTGGACGTTAATAATATCCTACAAATTATTTTTTGTAGCCCGGTTTTTCAATTTGATTAATATATATGTATATATATATTGATTAATATTTGTATAAGCAGCATTTCATATATAACTGTCACGGTTCAGAACTGTTCACTATTTAGGGGAGAAGATGTGTAAGCGGCCGGATAGCTCTGTCTGTAAAGCCGCGGAACTGTATCGCGGAACGGTATTCCGAAGGTCCCGGGTTCGAGCCCCGGTCAGGCTGCACATTTTTTCAACGTGGGCCGTGATGGTATAAGCTCCGAGTTCGATTTCACATTGTTCTCTTTACCCATTAGAAATTCGAGGACGAATTTCAATATAGCGGGGGAGTATGTCACGGTTCAGAACTGTTCACTATTTAGGGGAGAAGATGTGTAAGCGGCCGGATAGCTCAATCGGTAAAGCCGCGGTACGGTATTCCGAGGGTCCCGGGTTCGAGTCCCGGTCAGGCTGCACATTTTTCTCACCCTGTGACATAACTTAATGCACATGTATAATAAATGTTTGTATTGAAATCTTCTCCTCCAAGACGAGTCAATTTGCCTAGAACGTAGGCCTTTCGTGTCACTCTGTTTCTCTAATTATAATACCTATCAAATAATTAGATCCGTCAACGTTAGGCATTAGCAAATCAAGTCAACAATACAGAATTTATATATTCATACATTTCAAAGAAACAAACGGCTGATACTATTATACTTTAATTTATTTTGTGTTATCTATATTATCGCATATCCTTTTTGTTTAGAGACCAATCATGAAGTTTACACTTTGTCTCCTGGTTGTTCTGCCTTTGGCTTTGAGCGTTCCTGTCAACTATGATGAGAAAAGATTCCTCCCTGGACTGTTAAAACGTAAAATACTTTATTCAACTTTAAACTGTAGATATTTATTTTTAGCCATAAAGTGTTTCTCTTTCCCTTACACTTGTTATCAGGTTGAGATTAAAAAGTATTCATCATTGGCAGTTACCAATTGCCATATTGTTCAATATTCTTCAAATCCATCTTTTAAATACATCTTTATTTTTTGTCCGTAAGATGACACTATAAATGGTTTCTCCTTAATTCATGTAATTTGTATCTAGGTAACTTTTATATATCTTCACAAAATCTTCAACATATCATGATTCTAATATGATTTCATTCTGTTTTGCAATCAATGAAAAATAACTGAAACCTGATTATAAAGCTGCCTGTTTCTCAACCCAGAGGAGATCTGGGCTAGGGCCTATGTCAAGACAATGTCTCCTCATATGGCAGCAACACTGGTTAATGATTAAATAATCAAAATAATTTTAATTCCTTTTCAAGTTTATTACCTATGGCAATGAAATGAACATATTCTATATCTACGAATGTTTCTTAAACAACATGTTTCCTTCTTAAACAAACATATAAGAAAATCTTTTACGGAAAATGATCAACAGGAAACGTTTGTAATTGCTTGTCTCTGTTATTTGAAAATTTAAGTTTACAAATGCAAACCAAAAGAAAAAAGATAATAAACTTCAAAACGATCAGATATAATGACGAAACTTTTTTTAGTTCCAACACCTACGCCGGCTTTATGCAGATTTAACATGATAAATCCCCTGGATCCCAATTGTGTATTTGTCTGCCTAACAACCGCACCTGCTTTGTTCCCAGGAGCCACTTTGTTCGGAGGAAGCTTGTGTGGTGAAACTTGCTGGTAAAAAAGTTATGATTACTACACATTTTGATTGATCTTTATTTTTAATGAATGTAAATATTTATACATATAAGCTTTTATGCATGCATCGTATATACCGTATCTTATGCAAAAGAGGACTTGATTGTTGACTATGAATATTCTGATTTTTTTTCAGCATTTCAATGCCTGTAGGCATTCCGAATCTATCGCCACCCGAATCACATTGGTTCTTTTCAAGCACGAAATATCCTTACGTATACCACCACAGCCTTAGGTATGTTCCTTGTTAATATGTGACATTGGTAAAAACAATACAAAGGCCTTAGAAAAAAAGTGTAAAAAATCTATTGTCATAATAAGTGACACTGACTTTGTTAATCCAAGCACTTGATTATTCAAGGTATATTCCTGTCAAATACGAAAAAACTTTAGGATATAAATAAAGGCTGTATTAACCAATGTATAAAAATTAACCTTTTCCAACCTTGACTTTGACCCACTGACCCATTACTCAAACCAAGAACTATGCATCTATGCATAAGACATCTTCCTACAAAATATGAAAGGCGTCTTTCAAAAAATAATATGGGCAAAATTGTTAAAATCTATTTTTAGCATTTGTGACCTCATACTAACTGACCCGTTACTGAATTGAAGTGCGCAAGTTATCATGCTTTCAAATAAGAAAAATATCAGTCAAAAAATAAAAGCTGTTTCAGCAAATGTATTATTGGTATTCTTGACCTTGACCCCCTGATCACTAATTCAATCGAAAGAAAGAATATAATGCAAGATATCTTCTAACCAGATATGAAATTAATCTGTCAATAAATAAGGTTATATGGGCAAAAATGTAAAGAAATCTATTTTTAGCACTGATCACCAAGACCAAACTGACCCTTCACTTAATCCAAAGGAAGAAGATCATGCAAGTTATCATCCTAACAAATATAAACAAGAGCACCGCTAGGCGGAGACTTATATGCCCGCAAGTGTTTTTTTTTTTTTTAGTAAGGATGAAGCATTTGTAAGACATATTTAATATAAATTAAATAAAGTATAACCTCCTTCAAATAGCAATCCTCCTATAATGTTTAAATATTGTGGACCAAATGGAACTTTAGTTATGCTCTGGAAACTGTTTTCATGTTTCTGGTAATAGTGACCTTGAACTTTGACCGTATGAACCAAAAATAAATAGGGGTATTCTACCCAATATGGACAATCATCCTATGAAGTTTCAACACTATGGGCCAAAAAGAAAATAAGTTATGTTCTGGAAACTGTTTTCAGTTTTAAAGTAATAGTGACCTTGACCTTTGACCTTGTGACCCCAAAATCAATAGAGGTATTCTTCCCGATATGGACAATCAAATCCTATAATGTTTGAATATTACGGGCCAAATAGACCTTAAATTATGCCTAAGAAACTGTTTTCAGTTTTTTAGTAATAGTGACCTTGACCTTTGACATTGTGACACCAAAATCAATAGGGGTCTTCTATCCAATATGGACAATCATCCTATGAAGTTTAAATAGTGTGGACCAAATAAAATCTATTGTTATAGTAAAATTATTTGCACAAATGACTCAAAGTGGAAAGAAAAATGATAAGTGGTAATGTTCAGAGTACGAGTACCTCTCAATTTTTCTTTGAATAAAATAAAACAAATTCTCCATGTGTCACAATAGGGACTACGATGGGATACCAGGCCAACCACAATTGCTATCTAAAACAACCAACAACTCAGAACAGAAAAATATATACAAATTTATTTACAGAAATGAATATTTATAAATGAAAAATGATTATATATGAAAAGTCACTGCGCAAACAAACACTATCAACGTATCTCAGTCTATTTCTCCCGTAAAGTTTCTGTCATGATGTTTCAATAAAGTGGTGGCGTTGTTGAACAAAATTCGTCACAATGGCGGGCGTCTTGTATAAAATCTTATCAAGCGTAACTGTACTTCCTACAGTGTTGGCACAGTTGATAGGATCCTAAACAAGGGCATGCGTCACCCTTTAGCCATAGACATACGTGTGGAGGGCCCGTGTCATCTTCGGGTGTGTCCTCAAATAAGAAGCTACAAAGTATAAAACATGGTAAGTTCCATGATAATCAAACATAAGGGTATAATAAAGTCCCTTGGAAAAGACTCGACCTTTGTCGGTTTCCAATAAAATAACGTGCTTCTTTGAATAAACAAAATGTCCACTATAGTACACCATACATTCCGTGGAACAAAAATTCAATCACATCCGCATAATACTGCGTTTCAAATATATTCAAATATACGCCACATAATAACCACCAATAAATAAACGTCTTCCAAAATCATGCCACTGAAGATCCTTCTCTAGAGATACGTTAGTTTTGATACGTTGCATTTACTTATTACAAAAAACTGATGATAAATGAAATGAAGTAAGATGATAACGTAAATTAAATTGATTGAAACAAATCATTACGATACTGCAGCATTTTACATAAAGTTACACAAATACGGTAGAACCATAATAAATTATTTATGAATAGATATATATATATATATCTATAAATATTCACGGCTCCTATACAATTACAATACATTAAAACTTCAATTAACATACATCAATTAACATGTCTCGGTATAAATTTGCAACAGCGAAACACTAGAATAAAAAGAGCTTTTAAAATTTAATCTGCAAAATTTAGAAAATTTAGAAAAACAATAAATTACTGCCAAATAACTAAACCTGAATCAAATAAACTATAATTCTAAATAGAAAATAGTATTTTACGAAATAGCAAAAATTTATGAAACAAAATCACTAGAAAATTAAATTTACCTTGTACAAGCTGTAATTTTATGACAAATATAATTTGTCTGTCACCCTCATAGTGACCTGTATAACGTCCTGTATAACGTCCAGTGCATTGCAATATAACACTTAAAATTTAGTCCATATATAGCAAACTACTGAGTAGTGAGCGGGAAAACGGATCGTGCAAAACATGAAAAATCGATTTGCACGAAATAAAGCTGGGACGGCGGGAAAAATAGTTATGTGAAATAAAGGTCCGTCCTTCAAATACATACATAATACATATATCTGGTTCATAAAACAAAATTGTAACTTTCTTATTACTGAAAGGATTTTTATGAAATAAACGGCAAAATGTTTAAATTGATACATGGAAATTTATGCAAACCATAAAAATACTCTAAATAATAATTTCACCCGAAAACTCTAAATTGAACAAAAGATGATGCAATCTCACATCAATGAATATAGAGTAAAAATGAGGTTCGGCGTGAAAATATAATGCAAGATTTTACAAACGCACTTTCACTTTGTGACACCATGGGATAAATTATTTTTTTTCTCCCATTCTTCCTTATCTTTCTTCTTGCTATCGGCTAGACAATTTATTGTAATCTGCCATTTCTCATTGTAAAAACAATTCCATTTCATGATATTTATTTCATTTCAAAATAATACCACTGGGAGACAATAAAATTTAATGTTTAAATACATTATAATTTTGAAATGATGGCAATATATTATGTTTATCAAAATGTCCTCGTTTAAGGCGTTCTTTTTTTTCGAAAGATTGCTTAAATAAATATGTAGATTAAGAAAGGTCACCAATGAAGTTGTTGAATGTGTCCAACGTACAGATAAACTGACTCAACAGGGGTATTTTTGACAAGACGTGACTGGAAATAGTTCTTTGAGATAAACTTTCAATTGGTGTATAACTTTTGACCACTTGCTCCATTCGTTTTACCCAAATGGTTATTTTAATTGTAAAAAAAGATCCACAATTGAAAAGCATTTTTGGGCTTTTTAACCCCAGTAGAGTTCCTACATTTAAACAGCAAAGATAAAACAGGTTTATTAAGTGATTAAGTGATGAAATTTAAGCGTGTGCCACATTCAACATCATTTTAAATTTTTCAATGTGTTAATGCGTTATATATGCTTCCTGTCATATTTTATTAACATTCCCGGATTCGTGAGGACAAATACTGTATGAAAAGTCGGGAAAAAATGAAAATACCTTGATATAATTGAAAAGAGAAACTGAAAACTTAAACATAAATGAAAATTTCATACTCCGTTTAGATAGGTCTTTACAAGATAGAAAATAAATTGTGCATCATTTCTTATACACCATTTGTAATATTATCAATTATTCAAAAAAAAAAAACAAGAAAAGTATTTATTACATGCTTTTCGTTGGTTTATAGAAATATATCAGTGATATAAAACTGGTAATTTCACTGTTTGAAACAGTGAAATTACCACTTTGATAATTTCACTGTTTTGAATTTAAGCCCCTTACGTTGTTTCAGGGAAATACCAGCGTGCACAGAACTGGGTACCAACTTAATGACGTGACGTCGTAAATGACGTCACCTTGTATTATTATTTGGCGCGCTTTTCATTCAGTATTAGGTTTAATGTCTTTTTAAAACGTTTCTTTGCATATAATAAAAAGAAAATTTGTTTAGTTTAGTGTAAGATCGAAATATTTTTCACCTTGTGAACACCAAAAGTTCATATTACACTCGTGGCTGCGCCACTCGTGAAATATACCTTTTGGTGCTCACTCGGTGAAATATATTCCGATCTTACACTGAACTAAACAAATATCCTCTATATAATTGAAAAACTGTAATAAATTACAGGGCAACTTTAAAAAAACACTAATTAAGCATCTGCTATTGTGATTGATGCAAGAATGATGTAAGGAAATAGGTTATACTGGTGTCGTTATAGTTTATATAATGCAATAAGGTAAAGTGTTTGATTTAAAAAGAAAGCATATTTTGTACTTCGCATTTCATTTGAACACACAAATCTTTTTCGACAGATATAATTTATTTCTTGTGAAGGTTTTCCAGGAATACTTCTATGTGAACAGATATTGAGATATTAATTTACCTTTGGTCAAATAAGTCTGAAAGGGAAAAGAAATTCGACAAAATATTACATTTTTGGTTGTATCAATAGTGGTACATTTTTTAATCTGTCACATTTGCATGAAAAATGAGATATTTTAAAATACCTCGGTGGTCCTAGAAACTCCGATTTATTGGTCAGGCGGAATCTAGAACTTACCGGATTTATATGGCAAAATATCTCATTAAAAGATTGAAAATTAAAATTTTCCTTGAATGAAAACAGAAAGATGACTCTGGTTATGTAATTAAAATTTCTTCAATGAAAGTTTAATAACAAACAAAAGGTCAATTTAATATATCGCAAGATTTATATAGAAATTGACATTATTTAAAATATTGTATAACTTGATG